TTAGGGAGGAATACTCGACAAGAGTCACTCATTTCTCAGGGCTCCTTGCTTTTGCCTTTTGTGAGGTGACCTTTTGGCCTCCTCCATCTCCTGAGACCTTGATTCTGGCTTCATGTCCATTTCCTAGTGGCTCCTGGCAGACCTCACACTGTTTACCCACATGGACTCACATAGTCAGTTGGCATCCAGGCCTCAACCCATCCCCTCCCTGCTGTGCTGCTCCAGGTCTAGGTCCAGCTCAGCTGTCATCCAGCTGTGGTTTCCTTCCTGTGGGCCCTGTCCTCGCAGCACCAGGCACAGTCAGCCTTTCTATACCGGAAGCAGCTGCCCCTGCCTCCTGTGCCCTTTCTCCTTACTCTCCCTCCGGCTAGATACTGACATGCTGCTGCCGCTGCTCATGGTCCCTGCTCCATCTGAGCTCTGGTTAACTTCTCCCGTGCTGCTCAGTAAGACCAGCCTCACCCAGCCATGACTGCTGTGCTGTAGCCGTTGGCATTACATCTGTTGGCAGCCGTCTATCTGTCCTGGAAGACACCTTCGACACTGTCCTCAGCCCCCTGTCCCCTCCTCTCCCTCCTTGTCTGTTTGTCTTCATTGGCCAGATGATCATGCACATGGCTTGAGCAACTCACTTAGATATTGTTGATTTCCAGTGTCACATGACCAGTTCCAGTACACTTCCCAAGTGTCTAGTGGGTGTCTGGCAGGATTGTCCTGAGCATCAAGACACAGTGAGGAAGGTGACTAAGAGTTTGTTTCATGGGCAGGGTAGGATAGATAGCCAGTAGACAAGATTACAAGCAAAAAAACCAAAAAACCAAAAAACAAAAAAACTAAGAATCTAGCAGCTGAGTCTTACTCTTTTTTAAAATCTAATTTTTTATGTATATGGGTTTTGTATTTGCATGTATGCCTGCATGACAGAAGAAGGCATCACACCCCATTACAGATGATTGTGAGCCACCAGGTGGTTTCTAGGAATTGAACTCAGGGCCTCTGGAAGAGCAGTCTGTGCTGTTAACCACTGTGACCAGCACCCCAAGTCTTATTCCTATGAAAAGAAAATACATTTTGGAAGAAGCAGGGAGAGGGAACTTTGGCCTCTTCATTCTGACTGTAATGGGATCACCACATTGGCCCTCAGACAGTTCGGTCACATGAACTTCCTGCTTTGCCTTCCTTCAGTGCTGATTGCCACTGACTTCACCTCTCCCCTCAGCCAGAAGGGAGGCATTCTCTCTCCCCTGGTCTCTTCTCCACTCCTACCCCACACACCTGCCTCATCCTCCAGCCCTTGTGGTTTGGCCGACAGCCTGACACTGGCTGTTTTCCACACTTAGCTGCACTTCCTGCCCAAGCCAGTCTCTGAATTTCTTCTTTATAGTTGAACCCGCAGCCTTCTCGGGGCTGGAGCCCACAGAGCCAGAGTGTCTTTTAGAGAGTCCCGCCCCATTACTGCCACACCGCTCCACCTCATCTGGAGCTCTTCCGTGTAAGGTCCATGTCTCACCCAGGCTGTTGGTCCATGCACTGCTTTGGAAGGCCCCTGTGCCTTTCCAGTCTCTGTCTACCTGTCCCTCTCTGGGTGAATGACCCACAGCCATGCCAAGGCCATGGCAGAGGGTGTGGAATGGAGGCGAGCACTTTTCTTCAGAAAAGCTCTCCTGGCTGGCAGCTCCTGAGATCCTCACAAAATTGACAAAGTGGCTGGACAGGCCCTGGTAATGTGCCCTTACCATTGACAGAGTGTAAGATCCTAGCATTCGGCCAAAAGTGCTCAGGCATGATGTACCGTGACGTGCTATGACGTTCTGTGACGTGGGAAGGCTGTGGAGGTGCTATGGGGGAGTGAACAGCATGGCAGGTGAGGACCTGGAGGAGCTGCAGGTGGAGACATGGTGGTGGGCCAGGCCTGGAAGCAGATATGTAACCAACATGATACTAGAAGACACTCTCACACTGGATAAACAAGGAGCAGTGGCCAGATTTTCTCTCTGGAAGTTTTCTGCCTCCTTGCCTCCTAGTAGGTGCAGGCTCTGGAGAGTCCAGAGGAAGGCAGACTCAGCAAGGTTTAAGGGAGGGAAGCTGATGGCTTGGTGTCTACAGAGGTGGCAACCACCTCCTTCCTGTAGACATTGAAAACCTTACCTCAGCTTGTTTCCCTGCAGAGCAGCCGGCCAGCCTCTGGATTTGATTTAATTCTGTTTCGTGGGTTAACCAGACCATCCCTAGTCTTATCCTTGGTTATATAAGATGCCATTTGTTTCTCTGCTGGGTGTGAAGTGTCTTTCTACTGTTGTTCCTCAAGGTCCTTGTCGGTGAGGTCCTGGATTGGCATTGTAGACCGTGGGAGGTGGAGGTCAGAGCAGTCTGCAGTGCACACACAGAAGCCAGGAACACTCTGTGGGACTGTCCTTGAGGCCGAGCAGTAAATTCTAGGACTTTTACATTTTATCATTTTAAATTATGTGTGTGGATGTGCGTGTGCACGTGTATGCACAGGGACTTGTGCACGCGTGAGTGTAGGTGCTCTCGGAGGCCAAAAGCGTCGGACCCCTGGAGCTGGAATTCCAGGCTATGTGACCTGCCCAGTGTGGGTGCTGGAAACCGAACCCATGTCTTCCGTACGAGCAGCAAGTTCTTTTACCTGTGGAGCCATCTCTCCAGCTTTCAAAGGAGTAACCCAGGAAAGCCTACACATAAGTTTTGATTTGGGGGGAGGGCTTCATGGAAGAGGTGAGTTATACTTGGAGCTTTCTTTTTAAACATCTTACTTTAGTGATTTATTTGTATGTATGTGTGTATACACATGTGCATGGATATTACGGTGCACACGTGGAGTTCAGAGGACAACTTGTGGAAGTCTTCTCCTTCCATCATTTGGGTCCCAGGGATTAAACTCAGGTGGTCAAGCTTGGTAGCAAGCGTCTTTACCCACTGCCTCTCGCCAGCCCATGGGCGGGTGAGCGAGCTATGTTATTTATTTATTTATTCATTGTGCCCAAAGCAAGAATGAGAGATCCTTTATTAGTTGTCTGTCACAATAATAAATGCCAAGCATAGCTGCTTATAAGGTGACTCAGTTTTGGTGAGGACAGAAAGGCAGGTGGCAATGGTGGAACTATGTGTAACTTACCATCTTTCAGTCCAGGAACAGGAAAAGCCCCGTGTGCACAGGGACTTTCTACTAGGCCCCAGCTGTTAAAGGTTCACACCACTTCCATTCCAGCATCCTAGGGATCAAGATCAGACCTTACCAGACAGAGATCAGAGAGAAAGTCCAGAGCCACAGAGTGTGTGGGAAGGGTACCAGCCCCCACTCTCAGGTCAGAACTCCGGCTGCTGCTCTCAACCTGTCCAAGTGATCTTAGGCAGCATATTAAAGACAAAGCGGACCTTTACTGCTTAGCAAATATGCATTCCAAGGATGGCAGCCGATAAGTCTGGGGCTTGTGTTGGTGTGACTGGTCTCTATGGCCCTGTGTGATGATGGGAAGGGTTACGGGTTTTGTATCTTCAGGTTGGAGTTTGTTGGCCTTTCAGTGTGTGTGTGTGCTGAGGGGTGAGGATATGCACATGTGTGTACAGATGTGCTTGTATGTGCATGTGGGTGTGTGGAGGCCAGAGGTTGACAGAGTGTGTCTTCCTCCTCCTCTGTCACTTCCTACCCATTTCAGCACCACTGACGGCCGTTTGAAAGAACATCTGTACAGACACAGGTTCCTCTGCTTGGGGCAGACAGAGTGCAGTGACCATGATCTGTGCATCTTGCCTTCACTGTTGGCTGTCATTTCTGGACAGTGGTAGCTGGAAACCACAGTTTCTCAGGTCATCTGGTCATACACAGAAACCCCAGCAAGTGGGGGCCCAGAGCCCGCACGAGCTCCACAGGATCCCTGAACCTGTGTGGGTGACGAGGGCCTCCAGCGGCTTTGCTGCCTCTCTCTTCAGTCTCCTCTGCTCGGCAGGAATAGCTCACTGGCCACAAGGAAGTTGGCTAGCCCTGATGACTATCGCATTATCAGAGACGTGCCTGCTAGTTGGGAGCCCAAGTTGCATGGAAAGGAAAGCCAGGATGACTGGCTCCTAGGCGCAGGGAAGGCACCTGTACACAGCAGACAGTAGTGAACCAGTGAGAACTGGCTGTCACAGGAGGTGCTCTCTCGCTCCTGTCTCTGTTCAGTGGTTATAGGAGCCTGTGCTCTCACATCTTACAGTTCTGGAGGGCAGGGCAGAGATTAGAATCAGGGCCCAAGGGGAGGCCCAGGGTGCTGTGTCTGCTCACAGCTCCTCCTCTGTCTGCAAGTCACAGTGAGCTTCGCTTCTACCTGACTCTGGACTTGAGGTTCCATTATCTCATTGCCTTCCAAATTTCACCGTCCTCCCTTCCTCGTTAGGAGTGCTCTGCTGACACCGGCCATCTCCATAGTTAGGGGTCCTCCCATCTCTGGTGACCTTGACTTATTCATATCTGCAAAATTCTTTTGCCAAGTGAGAGCCATGTTCACATGTCCCAGAGATTAGGATGTAGAACCATGTTCACATGTCCCAGGGATTAGGATGTGACATTTCTGTGGCAGTCACTACCTAGCCTACCACATTATGGTGACATTTTAGAAGTCAGCCAGGCAGATGGCTTACAGTTGCTATCAGCACTCAAGAGGCTGAGGCGGAAGGATCACCACTAGTTGGAGATTAGCCTCTGATACGCAGTGCATTCAAGGCCAGCCTGAGCTACCAAGTGAGACTGTCACCAAACAAAAGAACTCAAAAGTCTTCAGGGGACATAAGTAGTCAGGTGCCTGACTCTCATAGTCCAGGGTTGCTGAGGACGGGACTTAAGCCTCAGCCTCCAGCAGCTCCAGTTAAGGGGTGAGAAGAACACTGCCCCAGAGCAGTGTGTGTGTGCGTGTGTGTGTTTACTACATTTCAGTTATTAGCAATCATTTTAAATAATACATTTTACATGCTCGTTTCTTTTTTTTTTTTTCTGAAAACAGATAGCCAGCAGGAAGAACAGCCTCGCGGCTGTCCAGTCTTCGACATCTACTAAAATAAAAGTCCCAATCCCTCAGCCCATCGTCGTCCCTGTGAAGAAAGACAAACGGCAGAATTCTTCACGGTTTAATGCCAGCAATAATAGAGAACTGCAAAAACTCCCATCTTTAAAAGGTAATTCTCCCTTGTGGCTGGGGGAGAAAGGCCGTGTCTAGCCATGCTGACTCCTTACTTTAGTGATCGGGTTTGGTTTGGTTCTCTCCTGATTCCGTTTTTCGTTGGATGGAATGCCACTTGCTTTACTGCACTAACAGTTTTAATTCCAGAGCTTTGGAGGATAACAGTCCAGTCGCTACATACGTTACAAGTGCACTACAGTAAGACAATAAGGGAAATTTAAAATCCTAAAAGCTGTAAGGAAGCAGCTGCTTCTCTTTCACGTGAGTCTCTGGCTTGTCTCCAACACTGGCTTTTAGAAGGGGTTACTCCAGGTCATCACCAAAGTCCAGCTGGGGCTTGCTCCTTTAACCGTGGCCGGCCAGATCCGTCCTTTACCTGTGACCAGCTGTGGCCTAGGGCTCTTCACTTGCAACCGTCCCCTTGGCACAGCCGTCTGTCCAGCAGAGGACCTTTAAACTCTTAGGTTTCCTCCAGGAGGCGTCTGTGTTGAGGTACCTAAGACTTTGACAAGGAGAATGGTTCAGCCATGGTCTGGTGTGAACCTCTGATGGTCTTTACATATTCTGAGATCTAAAACTGGTACACAGGATAGCTGTCAGTCTGTCGTACCTGAAGTTTGTAATGATGGGTGATTTTATTAATCTTGACTGAATGTGTGGAGAGCCAGACGTTGGTCTTCTTTAGAGTTGATTCCCAGCGCCATCCGCAGGGCCAGGGCGCAGCAGAGCTCCATACAGATGTGCTTCGGGGAGGAGCCAGTAGGTGGGCAGCCATTCTCTGGATACAGGTGTTATAGCTAAAAGGGCATGGCACCAACCAAGCCTGAATCCCTGTCACTGCTCTTCCAGACTCAACATCTGGGTGACGAGGGGATGTAGGTGAACCCTTTTTACACTGCCCCAGGAGGCTAAATCAGAGAGGTGTGGTGTCGGGTTGAGAAAGACTCAGAATAACTGCGTGGAGCCCACCTTCCCAAATGTCCCAGCCTGGTGCATGTCATAAGGGCATGTTAGAGTGTGTCCTGCCCCCCTCACACAGGTCAGAGCCCAGGGAGAGCTCAGCATAGGCTGGAACCAGGTTTCTGTCTTGGGATCCTTACCTGTCGGAAGGAGTCTTCGAGAGGCTCCTCGTAGTCTCCGCTCTGCCTCCGCCTGTGCCCTCCATGCCTGTCTCCACCTTTCTCCTTACACGAGATCTTTCTCCTACAGCATCTCTCTCACCAGACCCAAGGTGTATCAGTACAAGCACTCAGTGCTCTTTCCCGAAGGTAGCCTTGGGTGTCTCCTGCCATCGTCCTGTGACAGGATTGTTATGCCTGGATTTCAGAATAATCAAGTAGGGTGACGTTTGTGCCCACGAAGTGGGCTCAGCTGGGCCAGGCACTTTGTGATGGTCTGTGTCGTCCTCCCATAGTGGCCCCATGAAGTGTCTGTCACTCTGTAACAGTCTCATGGGGCCTCTGACTGGCTCTTTCCCTCTCCCGTATCTGGGAGTTACGTCCTCCTCTCCTGACTGTTTCAGTTCACTACCCCTTCATCCCCACTTTCATGGTAATTATCTGATTTTTTAAATACCTTTTTCTTTTTTATTAAGTCAGATGCAGAATTCTCCTCATTTTTGTGTAATGCCAATAGAAAGCAATGCACTCTTGTAAAGAGAGTAACCTTAGCTCTCGTCTTAGGTTTCCAACTTCAAGTCAGATGTTCTCCCTCTTTTAGAGTTTTATTGAGACACAGTATATACCGTAAGAGCATCTGGCATTAGTGGAAGTTTTAATAAATTTAATAAATGTGTACAGGTGTAAAACCATTTCATGCTCAAGTGTTGAGACGGTCCTGTCTTTCAGTTACTGTCAAGTCTTCCTCCTGCCCCAGGTACAGGTGACTGCTGATCGGCATTCTGTCTATATTTGAAACTATGAATGATCTTTTTTCACACACACACACACACATGCACACACGAACACACACACATACACACACTCGCGCACACACACGCACATACACACGCACATGCACACACACAATCTTATGTGTATGGGTGTTGTCTGTGCACAACTTGTGTGTTGTATCTGAGGAGGCCAAAAGTGGGAATCAGATTCCCTGGAACTGGACTTGAGGTGACTGGGAGGTCCTGTGTGGGAGCTGGAGTCTGCCTCAGCGCCTTTGGGTGAGTAGCCAAGTGCTCTTAACGAGCCATCTCTCCAGCCCCATGTGGGTTTTTTAAAAAAGTGATCCTTTTATTTGCCAGTTCCTAAACCAATAAGAAGCCTCAGTCCCTCTCAAGGATTAAGAGTATTTTGGTAGCCGGGTGGTGGTGGTGCACGCCTTTAATCCCAGCACTTGGGAGGCAGAGGCAGGTAGATTTTTGAGTTCGAGGCCAGCCTGGTCTACAGAGTGAGTTCCAGGACAGCCAGGGCTACACAGAGAAACCCTGTCTCGAAAAACCAAAAAAAAAAAAAAAAACCAAAAAACAGAAAAAAGAGTGTTTTGGTTTGTTTGCTTACTTTGTTTTGTTTTTAATTGACACATAATTACAGCATTCATTGAGTACAGTGTGATAGCTGGATGTATGTCTACAATGTGTAGCAACCCAGTCAAAGCAATTAGTGTGCCATCTCTTTAAACATTTGACATTTGTCTTGGTAGGTATCTTGAAGTCTATAACAGTTGTCAACTGGACATCCTGAGGCTACAGAACTTTGGGACTTAGCTCTTCTCTGACTGTCCGAGCACCCATTATCCTCCCAGCCCAGCTTCCCCCTTCCCGTCTCCATCCTCTCGTGACTACTAGTTTTCCCTTGGGTTCTGTGAGAGCAGCTGTTTGGGCACCACATTCTTGCTCTCAGACATGCAGCCTTTGTGTTCTGTGCCCCGTTTACTTTTCTTAGCTTAGTGTTCTTAGTTACCCTGTGTTTTCACAAATGAGTTTAACATTTTATAGGTCACTGACAGAGATGAATAAGTGTGTACCACATCGTCTGTGTACATTCTTTTCAGTGGATACCACAGTTGATATCCTGTCTTGCCTGTTGAAACAGTGTTTCAGTAGACGCAGGCTTGTGCATGGCTCCTTTGGGTGCATCACAGAGGGAACTTTGCTAGGTCAGATGGTGGCTCTGTTTCAGTTTGTTGAGGGAACCCTACAGTGACTGTGGTAGTTTATATTCCCAACCACCTCTCACATCTTTCGAACATTTGTTGGGGTTTGTCCTTGAACCACAGGCCATCGAGGAATGGTACCTCTGTGTGATTTGGCTCATATCCCCTAGATTTCGGCCACTTTGCTGTTTGAAAGTCAGGTACCTCAAGGTGTTAGGGGTTGAGTCGCACGTGTGTCTGGACTCTGTCCTGTTGGAGGACTTGGTTTTGCACTGTTCTATTTACTTGTCTGTGCACCTCTTACTTTGCTATGTGTGATGGTTTGTATATACTCAGCCCAGGGAGTGTCACTATTAGAGGGTGTGGCCCTGGTGGAATAGGTGTGGCATTGTTGGAGTGGGTGTGTCACTGTGGGTGTGGGCTTTAAGACCCTTATCTTAGCTGCCCTCCAAGCAGCCTTCAGATGAAGATGTAGAAATCTCAGCTCCTCCTGCACCATGCCTGCCTGGATGCTGCCATGCTCCCGCCTTGATGATACTGGACTGAACTTCTGAACCTGTAAGCCAGCCCCAACTAAGTATTGTCCTTATAGGAGTTGTCGTGGTCATGGTGTCTGTTCACAGCAGTCAAACCCTGACTAAGACGCTATGACTCCATTTGTAAATCTCTTCTTTGATTACTTCTGCTCAGAGGGAATCGTTAGAGAGAGTCATGCCCACCCTGCGTTTTCTTCTGCTACTTTCCTGGTTTCAAAAACTAGATTTAAATCTTTGATCCATTTCAAGTTCATTTTTATACATGGTAAACGACAGGAGTCTAGTGTCGTACTTCTACATGTGGCTGTCCAGTTCCCTGGATTGATTTATCGATTTTCAGTTCAGTCTCATTAGTCTGTATCAGTTTTACGCCAGTGCTACAGCTTTGTAGACTATAGCTGAGGTCAGGTTCTTTGATTCTTCCGGTTTTGTTCCTTCTGCTCACAGGTGCTGGGGTGGGTCTGAGAGCACATTTCCTCCAGAGTACAGAAGGTCCGCCATTGATCCCCAGCGCTGCAAGGATATTCTGTGGATCCTGATGGATTTGGGTGTTCGCTTTTTTATTTCTAGTTCTGTGAAGAATGACGTTTAGTATTTTGATAGGAATTATATTGAGTTGGTCAGGTTACCTTAGGTAGTATAGCGTTTATATAATATTTCTTCAGTCAACCCATGGATGTGGGATTGTGTTCTTCCATCTTAGGGTGTCCCCTCGGATCTTTTCATCGGTGCTTTGTAATTTCGCTCCCAGAGATCTGTCACCTTCCTCCTTGACTGTGTTCTTGAGCACTTGAGCATGCTATTGCTTATACCCATTATGGGTGGGGCGGCTTTGTTTTCCACAGGTTTGTTGTCAATACATACTAAGGATCCTAGAATTTTTGTTTAATTGGTTGCTTTTTTTTTTTTTTTTTTTTTTTTTGAGATAGTCTCAGTATGTTTCCCAGGTTTGAACTTGTAAGCCCAAGTGAGGCCTCCAAGTAGCTGGGTCCGCAGCACAGGCCATGGTGCCCAGCTTACTTCGGCTGGCCTTTTCTTTTTATTGTACCACTGATTGACTCAAGGATCTTATGCGTCATAGCAAAGTGCTCAGCCACTGTGCTAGATCCCCAGCCTTCTTTTGACCTAATTCTTTTGCAACATAAACTCACTAATTTGGGTGTGTGTGAAGTGGGGGGCATTCTCGTTCAAACCACAGCGTGATCCAGTCCCCTGTTCCATCTCCTACAGGCACCAGGCACACCTCTAGTGCACAGACAGACAAGCCGACCAAATACCCATACACATAAAAATAGAAATTATCTGGTTTTAGAAGTTAAGGCTATCAGCTGAGCGTGGTGGCACACACTTTAAGATCCAGCATGCAGGCAAGCAGAGGCAAGTGGATTTCTGTGAGTT